TTTTTCGTACGGGGGCGTACAAGATGTACAGGTTCCCGTACAGGTTCCCGTACACATCCCGTACAGAAATAACCTGTACGTTTCGTACGGGAAGCCCCCGTACTGTTTTCTTTTTAATTTTGAACTTTTGTTCTCTTCCTTTTGTTTTAGCTGGTTGGGGGGTAGATTTAAGGGGATGGTGCCCTTATGAAGAGCAGAGAGCTCGATACACATCGAATCAGTGCAGCTAGCGTAGCCGAAGCTGTTTTCTGACTCGTAAACTAAAGCTGGGCAATGAGCCTGGTGTTCAGTTCTTACCGGGTTGTTTGTTGAGGATTCCCGGCCTCAAAGTTTTGAACTTTGAAAATGGAAATCTCAGCCTTTTCCCGAAAAAAAAAATAAAAAAAATAAAAAAAAATTGAAACGGTTGCGGAGATGCCTGCCTTCTAAGAGCCTCACCACACAGGCTTTCAAAACGTGAAAAGGACAAAAATGTGCCAGGCGCATCTGGCCATGTTCTAGCGGCAATCTCATTCTCGTTTTGCACATTTCGACAGCCTGTGTGGCGAGGCCCTAAATCCCATCTTCCAGGGAGCTTTCAACAACTTACCTTTCCACCTTCCCCATACCGATAGCGTGGCTCTGTCTTCTTGGAACAGTCCAAAGCATGGGGGAGGGCGGGTGAACGTCATCCCTGAAAATTATCGGTTGTACCTGCAAACTTGGGAAGTATCCCGAGAGTGCATGTGAACTGTCCACGTAAAACAGAACTTGAAGAAGAGTTTATCGAGACCAGTAACAATCACTATCTATCCGGTACAAGTCGGGTTGCCAATTTCGGTTTTCCGATGAGACTGCAGCCTGAAACGGCTGCCTGTGAAATAGGATTGGCCCCACACCTCTGTATCTCCATGTCTATTTCGTGAACAGAATGCGGTTTCAGATAACAAAAAGCAGTTTCTTTGATTGGAAGCAACCCGCTTCTACCACCTCCACCTCGAACCTTGCAGGCTGGCAATTGTGAGTGCAGGCTGAGCGAAAGGGCAATGTGAATGGACGGAGAGAGCATGGAATGCGAATCAGAGTTGTATACGGAGTGAGGGGCAGTGGACCTGCAAGGGGGGTACGGGATGAAGTGTTGCAACCTTGATGACGACTTTTGTGACAATACAAAAAATAACACAATTCTGATATTTTTCTTTCCTCAATGGTCTGCGACTTGTTGGTTTCAATGACATTGTTTGCGTTGTTCGTCTTGACGGTCTTGTTGCAGTCATGTTGCCTTAGGTTCTCAGTTCCGAAGATTGCACTCCCTCATTGTGATGTTCGTCTGCTATCTACTGGTTGTGCTTAATCTTCTGCTGACCTCGCTAATACTCGCTATGCTCCTGAGGGATAAGAGGGCGAGGGAAAAGTCGTCGCGGCCAAGAACAGCATGCCAGTATCCCGTGCATAACACAATTGACACCGAGTAGTCTTAGGCCAAAACCCAAAGAGGGCAATACCAATAAGATAGAAAAAATTAAGCCCAAACATTCGTCACCAGCATCCCTTCCCTCACCATAACCCTCAGCTCCGCCGCATCCTCAATGCTGCCGACGTTCTGGCAGTTCCCCTACGTGTTTCCGCCGGCGCCAGAACCGGCTTCATCAGGGGGTAGCACCTCCTTGGTTTGAATGGCGACGGTCAATCGTTTAAAACGATTGCCATCGCAGTTAGTCCTAGTACAATCTTTGGTACCTTCCCTAACCACCATGTCCCTCATAGGTTCCGGTACCTTTCCCACTCAGGAGCCCTTCTTTCAACAAACTTCCCCAACACGTCCGAAAAAAACGTTTCCGGGTACTCGAGCAACCTGAGCTCTCGCTGCACCGATAGCAGAGGTAACTCTACCAGCTCAGTCGTCGAGGTGCAGGCCCGAATTCTTGCCAACGCACTGTTCACCACTGCTTTTTTCTGTTTCCTGTCTGAATATGACCCGTAGCCCTGGATGGACCGATACTCGAAGTTTCTGGACCAGAGATTATCCTCATTCTTCCCTCTGTACCGGATCTTAATTTTGTTCGGGTTCCTATAGATCCTCAACTCGCATCCCAGGAACACCCAGGTCCCTTCCCTTGTGTCCGTTCTTTTTAGCTCCAGGTTTTTATCATAAATTCCTTCCAGCTTTTTAATAATCGCATCGGCTCTTTCCGCACCGTTCTTAGAGTTTCCCTCCCGGACAAAAACAGACAGATCGTCCACCAATCGGATGCCTTGCACTAGGTTCCTGTCCCTACCTAATGCTTCCAAAAAGCAGGCTTCATTATAGACGCACAGCAGGCAGGCCAGCGGCGGACTGCTGGACTTCCCCATTGGTACCCCCATTACCTGTCTTAGCACCCGCCCTGCTGCCAGCATATAAAACAACTATATATTATTACATAATAATATATTATTCATAGAGAATTGATTACACATTTCCCTCTCCTTTTTACAAATACCCTTTCTTCCCTTCCGCTTCATGGCTTCCTGGAGCCAGGCGACTGACTGCTGGACTGATGCGTGCGGAAGCTCGTTAAACATTTCCTTATGTCGAACGCCAGCCCTCTCATGCATCCCCCCTTTCCCTTACTTTGTGCCCACTTTGAGATTCTCTCGACTCTCTCTTTCAAGTCCCCGACTGACCTCAGATTAAAGTGACAGGAAGGCGCGAGCAGCAGCAGCATTGCGTTCAAGGCTCTAGCTACCCTCCTGCTTGCCTGTTTAGAGGGCTCAGAAAATGAAGGAGTAATCGGGCGGAATTTCCTAAAATCCTTGTTCTTAGGCACGACATAAGCACTACCCAGCCTTTCCTTTCCGTCCCATTTCCCTAGGCTATCAAACCCTTGTTTTCTGTACTCCCTCTTACACTCCTCCAGCACTTGGCTTTCATCAGAATAAATCCCTCATTGCTTCTGCGTACCTCATTTCCCCCGAATAAATCCCTCATTGCTTCTTCGTACCTCATAGGGCACACGACCAAGGTTTCCGCCGGGTTTTTGTCGAGCCGAACCCTCACGTAGTTTACCAGCAGTTTTTTCCGTAGTTCCACATCCTCAGATACTAACTCTTCATCCTCTTTCCTCTCATGGTCAACAATCACCTTTTCAACCTCACCTGGCATCACCCACTTGTTCAAACTATACTTCAAAAACGAATTATTAATTTCTTTCGTCACCTCTTTTACCAACTCCATCTCCTTCTTCCTAAACGAAATTTTTGCATTAATCAAGCTTGTCGGAACACCAATGACAGAGCTCAGTTTGCACGTCACATGCCCTTCCCTCTTCGTAAGGTCCAAGTCTGCGCAAGGGCAGACACCTACCATGGTCTCCGCAGCAGACCTATGGTTTCGCAGTGCTTCACCAACAGTCCGATTTTTCCTCCAAACTGTCCTTAGGCGTCCGCAGATGATCCTGCTCACGTCCGCAGATGATCCTTCACGCAGCTGATCTTCTTATTCGATTTTCGAACCTTTTCCCGAAATATGGGTCCGGCTAAGGGACGAGATGGCATGTGTCGATTCGAGAAGTGGTGTTTTGAACTTGTGGCCCGATCACTAGGAAGGTACTCAAGTGGCTGGGGCCTTGCTTATTCAGGGTCTTCGTCGGGTTCTTCAGGAGGTTATCTGGACGACTGTTCTCTCGGTTTCTGGTCTCTTTTCTGGTCTGAAGCGGAGGTTTCTAGAATTCTCTTCTGCTCTAACTGCGTCTTCGGTTTTCTCATAGTCTATTCGAACACTACTTATTTTGCTATTCCTGTTCCTTCCGTCCCTCCCTGGCGAGTTGTGTACACAGACCCCTGACAATTCCGACTGGCATCCGGATGAAACACAACGTAGGGTCGCTGTGCTAGCCTACAATTCCGGCTGGCGTTCGAATGAAATGCAGCGTAGGGTCGCTGCGCTAGCCTACACGACTTTCTTACGATGTACTTGGCCTGTTTTATTGCAATATCCTTCGGCCTTATGGTCGCGTTTCGGGAACTTCAAGGGACTTTCTTTGTCTCCTCCTGTTTTTGTCTCCTCCTTCAGACTCTATTCTCCCTCCTTGCTAGTCTCTCTGTGTGTCTGTCCGATTGCATGAATGCATGGTTGACTTGTGTCTTCACCCGAACAAGGGGAAACAACCAACCAGGGTGCCCAAAAAAAAAATTGAATGACTWGTCCAACATGAAAGCACCGCTACGCATCCCAAAATAGACCGAACAACAGGACAAAACCAACCTTGATGCAGACAAAGTTACCAGAACAAACTATACCATCTCCGTAGTAAAAAGATGGAACCATACAGTAGGTCAGCAAAACGAAATACCCCAACCATGGGGAAGAGTAAAGTGAAAAAGAGAGAATCAAAATATTTTCTACCATAACCAAAGAAGAGCCTACTAGTACAGGCCCGACGCTGGCCGCATCATCTGCAAAAGCAGAGAGAGAGCGACCTCAGATACATATATATATGTATATATACATACAGATCAACCGGCGTTCGGGACGGGCCGAACGCCCGAACCCGAACGCCCGAATGTATGGGAACCCTTCGGGATGTGTTCGGCCGTTCGGGCCGAACGTGGACCCAAAAAAAAAAAAAAAACCAACGTCATCAAAAAATCTGAAAAAACGATATGTTATGAAGAAAAATAAACTAAACAAGATTTGCCTGAGCATTACATCCGAATTCCTTACCAAATTTGAAATAAAAATAAAATACCGAAAACAAATACTAATAATAAAAATAAATATAAATAAAAAGAGAATTAAATTTAGTGAGTGCGCGAGCATGTTTTCGACACCGCCAACTTTCGCGATTTTTCTTTTTTTTTTTGGCATAGCTAAATGCCCTGAAAATTTACAGATGTGTACTTCACGTAATACAAAACCCACTAAAAAAGTTTCAAAAAATAATAAAATTGCTTAGACCCCGAACTAAAGTGAAAACAAAAAGTAAAAAGTGAAAAAATATTTGGGCGAGCACGTTTTGACACCGCCATCGTTGGAAATTTTTTATTCTTATTTGACTTAGCCAAATCACTTGAAAGTTTACAGGCACATACCTCACGTCATAGAGAACTCACAAAAAAGAATTCAGAAAACAATAATTATTTTTAGGCCCCGAAATAATTTTTGGCGGGGGCCGAACGCCTTCGGGTTCGGAACCCGGACGGGACTCCGAACGCGCGTACGTACGGAGGTCGGCCCGGGGACCTCCGTACGTACGGGCTGGTGACCCTGTATCCTGATGAGTTGGTGAAACTCCGACGAAACAGTTTGTCACAGCCCCTCGTTTGTTGTCCTCTTCTCTCTCGCTGCCTACGGTTTACCTCTTCTCTCTCTCTGCCTACGGTTTACCGGGCAGTTCTGTTTGTGACGATATATATATATCTGTGCAAGTGTGCCCTTTTGGAGGCAGATGGGTGTGTGGGCTCTTCCCACTCAATCGCACAAATGTGGGGAACCTGGCATTTTCTATTATATTGCCCGTCTATACTTCCTTGCTTTATGGATGGTTTGTAATGGTTTGTAAGAGATGCAATGAGAGAGAGAGTTTGGGGTTTCTTGATAGCGCGCGCGCACACACACACACACACACACACAGAGA